AGAATTAACTGTACTTGGATTGGGGCTAGAATTAAGTGGGAGCCCAGAATCCGTTCTACTTGTCTATGAGTTATGAAATTCTCTAGTTTAACTTTAGTGGCCTTATTATGACAAATTAAAAAGAAATTAAAAACAAAAACAAAAACTACTCTAAAACCAACCAAACAACAGCAAAACACCAAAAAAAAAAAAGAGAGAGAGAGAGAGAAAAACACTGTCAATCATCCTTCTGAGACGTCGGGCAGTTGTCATGTTACCATTGTTCATCCAAACCCACCCATTAGACAAGAGCTCCTTGATAAAAAGGAAACTTAAAAATTTTAGACCTTTCCTGGTCTTTCTTTCCTTTTGTGATTTAGGCATTTTAGAATCAGCATTCCTGATCAACAGAAACGCTGCTTCTGAGTAAGAATACCACATTTCAGGGTGAAAATACCACGCCCCACTCAAGGAGACACGCAGTCTCTCATGATGAGATGACATGATTAATGTTGCAGGTGGAGCTTGAGAAATTTCCATCAAGTTGATTGTGACTCACAGTGATCCAACAGGTTTCTGAGACTGTTACATCTTTATGGGAGCAGAACGCCTCATCCTTCTCTCTTGGAGCAGCTGGTGGGTTTGTACCACCAGCCTTGTGGCTGGCAGCCCAATGTGTAATCCACGGTGCCTCCATAGTTACCTTGGTTAATATTACAAGCTCCAAACTGACTGCCATTGAATCAATGACGACTCACAGCCACCCTGTAGGACAGGGTAGAACTGCCCCTGTGGGTTCCTGAGACGGCTAACTCTACAGGAGTTGAAAGCCCTGTTGTTCACGGGCAAATGTGAGGCCGTGGGACTTGGAAGCGGAGTTTGAAGCATGCATCAGAACCCCTGTGGGTTCCTGAGATGGCTAACTCTTTACAGGAGTTGAAAGCCCTGTTGTTCACGGGCAAATGAGAGGCCGTGGGACTTGGAAGCGGAGCTTGAAGCATGCATCAGTTCAGATTATATGATACAAATGGCCTTGTTGTTATTGTTAGGTGTCATCGAGCCAGGTCTGACCCACGGCGGCCTTATGCAAAACAGAATGAATAGCCATTCCTGCCTTCCCCGTCTTTTATTTTTCACTTATTTTATTTCCCCTTTTGATCAAGATTGTTCCATAGAATCTTTACTCGAAACGTTCAATAAGGGTAGTTGTGTACCATCCAGTTCTTTTGTTCTTGTGGAAAAGAAGGCAATAGTTGTCCAAAGAGGCAATTAGCTTACACATCCATGTCCTTCTATTCCGACTGCTCTTCCCTCTTCTTCTGGGGGACGCTCCACTGACACGCAGATGGCTTCATAGCAGCATGTAAGCCTGTCGAGACAGTTTGTGGCTGTCCAAAATACTGAGTCCAAATTGCAGGATAGTGAAGCTGTAGAATAGAATGTGGACTGATTCCAGAAATCTGATGCACACACAAAAATGTAACAACTTGTTTTGAAACATTACCTCACCTAGCCACTTGATTGCATCAAAGTGAATGTTTTCGGTATAGAATTGAAATGTTTTCAGTATTCTGATCATCTTTAACATACTAGTAAAATAATAGAAAAGCATACAGTGTGTGTGTGTGTTTCCTATACTCTGGATTTGATAGTGTCAAAACATTTTAGAAGAGTAGTTTAGTTTATATTTCTATCTTCAACAGGAAAATGAAGTAATATCAGTGCAAAAGAAGGAAAAGTCATTTCTAATTTGGATCCTGCTTAAATACCCTCACATTTCCTAATTCCTCACACAGAGAGGCTTTGCACTGCTTGCCATGCCCTGGTGTCTCTGGTCCGCACTAACAATAAGCAAACTTTTCTTTCCTGAAGGTGGAATCATGGTATTTTCATAAATTGGTGGGAGGTGTAAGTAAACCGAGGCACTCTTTGTCCATTTGCTATGCCTAGAGTCTCTAGTCCAATGGCCCTGCTGCCTGACTGTGGTATTGCGGTGTCTCTCTGCCAGGCCTCCATCTGCCGGAGCAGCCAGCCGCTGTCCGGCTTCAGTGCCCGGTGCCTGGAGGATGAGCAGATGCTTCAGGCCATCAGGAAGGCCAATCCGGGAAGCAACTTCATCTATGTCGTGGACACTCGGCCTAAGGTAAGTCACCATTGTGCCATGTGTCTTTGGAGCTCCTAGTCCTGAAGCTGGAGTCATGATAGTGCCTAAGGGACCATACCCAGGCTGCTGGTGGCTAAACCTGCTCAGGGTTTATTTCTTTCTGCAGAGTTAATATTGGGGTGAAAAAGTTTAAATGAACATGTTGTTGTTAGGTGCTGTGGAGTCCCTTGTGACCCATAGTGACCTTATGTACCATCCTCACGGCTGTTGTGTTTGAACGCATTGTTGTAGCCACTGTGTCAGTCTATTTCATTCTCTTTTTCCTGCCTCTCTTCTAAACCCAGCGTGATGTCCATTCCCAGGGACTGGTCTCTCCAGATAACATGTCCAAAGTATGTGAGACAAAGTCTTCCTTGCTCCATTCTGGCTCCTAAGGGACATTGTGGCTGAACTTATTCCAAGAAAGATTTGTTAGTTCTTTTGGCAGCCTTTGGTCCTTTAAATATTCTTCGACAGCAACATAATTCAAATGTATTGATGGCTCTTCAGTCTTCAAATTGAATGTCCTTATTCAACATCAACTTTTCTCATGCATATGAGGCAATTGAAAATACCCTGGCTTGGGGCTAGCACATCTTAGTCCTCAGAGTAACATCCTTGCTTTTCAGCATTTTAAAGAGATCTTGGGCAGCAGATTTTGATCCTTTGATCTCCTGACTGCTGTTTCCATGAGCATTGATTGTGGATCCAGGCAACATGAACTCCTAGACAACTTCAAGCTTTTCTCTGTTTAGTATGATGTTACCGATTGGTTCAGTTGTGAAGATTTTGGTTTTCTTTTACATTGAGTTGTAATCCATATTTAAGGCTACACTGCTTGATCTTTATTAGCAAGTGCTTCAAGTCTTTCTCACTTTTATCAAGCTTGGGTGTGTCATCTGCATATTGAAGGTTGTTAATGAACCTTCCTCCAATCCTGATAACACGTTCTTCTTCACATAATCCAGCTTCTCAGATTAACTGCTAAACATACAGATTGAGAGGATACAACTCTAATGCAGATTTTTCCTGATTATAAGCCATTCAATATTCCCTTGTTCTGTTCTCACAATTGTCTCTTGATTCGCGTACAAATTCCACATGAGCACAATTAAGTATTCTGGAATTCCCATTTTTTTCAATGCTCATGGGAGCAACGGTCACGAGATCAAATGATGCATTGTTTTGGATAAATCTGCTGCACAAGACTTCTGTAAAGTGTTGAAAAGCAAGTATGTTACTTTGAGGACTAAGGTCACTTTTCAGGACATAGTTTGTTATGATCGATAACATAGATCATATAGATCTGTACTATAGATCTATATATAATATAGATATATAATATAGATCTATAGATCATCTATAGATTATATTATATAGATTCTATATAGTCCAATGCCTTGTCATAGTCAATAAAAAACAAGTTAACATCTTTCTGGTATTCTCTGCTGTCAACTAAAATTCATTTGATGTTAGCAATGATATCCCTTGGTCCATATCCTTTTCTGAACCTTGCCTGAATTTCTGTCAGCCACCTGTTAGTGTACTGCTGGAAACATGGTTGAATGATCTTCAGCATAATTTTACTAGCATATGATATCAATGATACTGCTCTGCATTTCACTCATTCTGTTAGGTTGCCTTTCTTTGGAATGGACACACAGATGGATCTTGTCCAGTCAGTTGGCCAGGGAGCTGTTTTCCAAATTGATTGGCATTGACCAACGAGTGCTTCCAGTGCTTCATCAGCTCATTGCACCATTGCAATAGGTATTCTATCAAATTCAGTCAATTCCTGGAAGCTTGTATTTGACTGATGTCTTCAGTGCAGCTTGGACTTTTTCTTTCAGCACCATTGGTTGTTGCTCCAGTGCTACCACTTGAAGTGGAGGAATCTCAGCCAGCTTTTTGGTGCAGTGACTGTGCAGTCTTTCCATCTTCTTTTGACGTTTCCTATACCAGTCAATGTTTTGCCCATAAAATCTTTCAATTCTAAAGATTGAGGCTTGAACTTTTTCTTGAATTCTTTCAGTTTAAGAGAAGCTGAGCATGCTCTTCCTTTTTGATTTTCTAACTGTAGGTTTTCGCACATTTCATTACAATATTTTACTTTGTCTTCCTTTTTTTATTTATAAGAGCTTTTTATTTTTATCATTGCTAATAGTAGGAAAAACATTTTTAAAAATCAGTTTATTGGGGACTCGTACAGCTCTTATCACAATCTATACATCCATCCATGATGTCAAGCACATTCGTACATATGTTGCCATCATCATTTTATTTATTTATTTTTAGTTCGATAATTCTTTTTTTGTTGTTTTCTTTTTTTAAAAATCGTTTTATTAGGGGATCATACAACTCTTATCACAATCCATACATACATCAATTGTGTAAAGCACATTTGTGTAAAGTACATTCATTGCCCTTATTATTCTCAAAACATTTGCTCTCCACCTAAGCCCCTGGCATCAGCTCCTCATTTTTCCCCTCCCTCCCTGCTCCCCCCTCCCTCATGAGCCCTTGA